CCCCCCATTTACCCTGAAGACACAGCTTGGGTGTAACGTGTAACTTTTATTGTAACTTAAAAAACTCGTAAAAAAAAAAACAAAACAAAAAACAAAAACAAAGTGTCTGAGTCTATAACGTTTATTGAATAATGATAATAAAAATAATAACATGAACTCCGAAAGAGAATAGGCCCTTTGCAAGATCCAGTCACACGGTACAAAATAACACATGCCAGTGAGCAAGTTGCGCAGTGGGACTTCCAAAACAAAGGCAGGTCCAGGTGGACTGGTACGGCCTGCATTGTTTTGGAAGTCCCACTGTGCAACTTGCTCACCAGCATGTGTGATTTTGTACCATATGACCGGATCGTGCAAAGGGCCTATTGATTGCAATTTTAACTCTTTAAGTCTTAACCGTCGGTATTCCACAAAGTGTTGGGAACTAAACTCGTTTCCAGTTTTACAGACTCTTGCTCCCTGGCCCCAAAACGCACGATATTCTGCCCTAGTATTCTTTGCTTTTGGTCATGAAGTCTTTACCTGATCCGTTCCTTATTCTTGGCATAATAACTTCTCCAATATTCGTTGATCCGCTCCCTGTTGTTTTTTACAGTATTGTCTTCGGTAATTTCTGATGTGCTCCTTGTTCCGTTGACAATAGGCTCTCTGGCTGCTGGCGAGTCGTTCGTTATTGTTTTCATACCATCTTTTACGACGGGTTTTGAGAATCTTGACGTTCTTTGCACGATATCTCTTTTGTTGGGCCAGGATTCGCTGTCTGTTCTTGGCATAATATGTTTTGTGCTAGGCCCAGACAACCCTCTGGTCTTTCCCTGACAGTTGATTGGAGCAATTCATCTTGCATGTGTGGCGTCTTACAAATAATGACTAAAACCCTAGAATCACACACTCTTATTAGGGGCACATGGCTAATTCAGGTCTCAACCTCTTCTTCTACCTCCTCTTCGTCATCATCGTCGGGAAGTAACTTCTTCCGCATTAGCCTGTTTAACAGGAATTTCCGTTTTGCACTGCCGACTCGGCCGCTTCGTCAAAATCCATGTCGTCTTGCTCAATAAAGCGTCGAAGAGTCTTCATGACTCTACGGTGTATTGCGCGTGTTTGATACGGTGAGACCATTTCAGACGCTCTAAGTAAGTCCTTCGTAGTCTTCTTTTACTTACAGGTAACAGGGCATTGAAAGCAACATTTTCGGCATAGCTTTGGGATTTTCCTTTATCCAGGAACTGCTGACTTCTTTCAGGTAGGGTTCTTTGAGATCTTCCCCGACGTTTTGAGGTAACGGACTCCACGGATCTGGTTCATCGTCGTCGGCTTCTTCTTCCTTTTCGGAGCTGCTACTATCCTCCTCTTCTTCCTGTTCCTCCTCAGGCTCCTCTTCTTCCACCTCCTCTTCCTCTTCTACGTTCTCACCATTGTTATCTTCCATAGGGCCAATAGAGTCGATTAAACTGATGTTTAAAATACCATTTTGGGCAATGATCAGACATCCTCTCTCTTTCTTCGTTGCCAGCGCGGGTATCCTTCGTGCGTCAGGAGGTGACTAAACACGCGTTTCCTGTCATCACTGGCGGGATATAAATCCAGGACCGTGTACCCAAACGGTCGTCCGGTCACTCTTTGATAGGCGTCCATCATGTCTTGCCAGCAAGTGGGAAAAGCTCCAAGCAGTGAATTCTTTATCCTCAATTGATCTCTTGGATTTTTGAAGGCTACGATGTAGTGGGCGTTCCTGGAAATACTCTTGGCGTATTTCGCTGGTGGAAACATGTCTTGGCACAAGTACAACACGGTGATATTTTGATGATGAGAGTGTTTGGTGAATAAGTCTAGCAACGCTTTGTCGTCACCTCCTCTGTCATCAGATCGTCTAATACGAGTAATCCACTCTTCGGAAATTAAACCATGACTTGGGATGGTCTGACTCTGGATTCCCTTCTTGAAATTGCACACCAGCGTCTTCCATTTCTCTAAATCCGTCTTGCCACGCGCCGTAACAAAAATGAATCGTAGGGGGAGAGTTTACAAACAATTCTTCCAAGTGATCCAAGAATAACGATTCGGTAAAACACTACCAGAAGGGCCACAACCAGAAGGGCCCACGATCAAAATACTGGAGGGTGTCTTGAACCGAAACGGTTCTCCCATTTCTATTCTACTAGGGATCACATGGTGCTTTTCGGTAGGAAATGTGATATTTGGGACATCTTCTCGTGTTTTTTCTGATCCACTGCTTTAACAACTATGTTTCTCGTGACGAATTCTACTGTCTGCACGAGAGAATAGTCTATGACAATATCGACAATAAAGGGACATGACTCCTTGCTAGTTTGACTCAAAATGAATTGAGGCAATTTAATCCTTATTTTTATACATGATTAATGATGGAGTTGATGAGTATGGTGAAGGTGGTGGCGGCAGTGGTGGCGGTGGTGTAGATAGTGGTGGTGGTGGTGTTGTAGGTGGTGGATGTAACGGTGGTGGTGAATGTGGTGGATGTGGCAGTGGTGGTGAATGGGGTGGTGGTATAGGAGGTTGTGGTGGTGGTGTATGTGGTGGTTGTGATGGTGGATGTGGTGGTGGTGGTGGTAGATATGGTGGTGGTAAATGTGGTGGTGTTGGTGGTGGATGTGGTGGTGGTGAATGTGGTGGTGGTGAATGTGGTTTGCTTTCGTAATGGAAGAGATTAAGGGAAAACAAGTACGTTACTGGGATTTGCTATCTCTTGTTCAGTGATTAAACATAGTTTTTCGTTTTCAATTCTGTGTGATCATTGACTTTCGGGGATAGCCCCTTCCTTCTTTCATCTCTACCGAGAAATACCTTGGGGAGTGCCCCATTTATCGACACGCTCGGGGTTTAGTGCTCTCTTTAAGAGAGGGGGACTAGGGAAGCCAACCACTGTAAGTACTTTAATTCATTCTGATTTCTTTCCTTTGATTGGTTCCCGTTGATGTCATCGTCCCATGACGCTTTCGAATAGCCACCTTATAGTCAGAACTCGGACGCAAGTCTCTCAGTCTTCATCATGGCCACTTGTCGGACGAACCTCTGTCATGTAGGACCACAGGACACTGTAAGTATCGATTGAAGTTGCATGACATTTTTTTGCGTGACCTTGGCGTGATTTGTGTCACCATGGAAATCCGTGAGACCGATCCCAGTCCTCCGTCGAGGCTGGGTGGGCTGTTCTCCAACATGGCCGACTTTCGTGGGTGCCGCCATCTTGAATTCTTAATTCGGCTCCTGATTGGTCCGATTTTTCAAAGCGCCATCTTGGATTTGGAGAACAATAGTATCCATTGTTCTCCAAACAATAGCCTATTGTCTTTCTCGGCTCCTGATTGGTTACCGCTCATATGAGCGTCCATTAC